TCGAGCCGATGTAGAGAAGATCATCCACGTAGACGATTAGCAGAATGTAGTCTTCGTCTTTGGTGAGCCGGTACATGCCTTGATCATGCGGTAGTTGCTTGAAGCGGATGCGGATGAGGCGAGCGTGCAGGTGTTGTTGCCACAGTCGCGGGGCCTGCTTGATGCCGTAGAGTGACTTGAGTAACTGGCAAACTTGGTTGAGTTCTCCGTGGGAGCTGTGCGGTAACTCAACGAAGATTTTGGCATCAACAGGTGCGTAGAGGAATGCGTTGGCGACGTCGATTTGCCGCAGCTTCTTTTTCTTCATGGCAGCGATCGCGAGGAGGATTCGAAGTGAGGTATGTCGGCTAACCGGGGCGAATGTCTTGGTGAAGTCCCGTCCGTGCTTCTGATCGAATCCACGCACGACCCAGCGTGCTTTGAACTTCTCAATTGTGCCATCTGCTTTTGTTTTAACGCGGAAGACCCATTTCCCAGTGAGGATGGTTTTGTTCCTCGCCACGCTGATGGGGACGACTTTCCAGGTGTTCCGGTCCTCCAGCGCCTTTAACTCTTTGTCCATGGCTTCACGCCATTTCTCCCTGTGTTCCCCCCCCAAAGCCTACTGAACCTTCACAGGCTCCTTAGGAAGAGCGTCGCCGTGGACTTCGGTGACGAGGCCGAGTATCTGCAGTCCAGTTTGTGAGTAGCGGGGAAGATTTGCGTCCTCGGGATAAGCTACTTCATCTCCTGCTTCTGGATCAGGTAAGAAATTTGGTCCTACTCGTTCTGCTTCGTTGGTGTTGACTGTCGCAGGTGTTACGTAACCGTTGTCGGCGAAGTAGTAGAAGGTTTCGGCGTTGACACTTTCGCGAGGGTTGTCGTCGTCCATGGGAACGTCGACGGAGCAGAATGGTAGAGGTCCGGCTTCTTCTGACGCGTTATCCACATTCTGCTCGTCCCAGTCAGCTTCGTCTTCTGCGGAGGCGAAGGCTCGGTTGCCACGAAAACCGCCTGTGGGATCTTGGTCCTCTTGCAGGTTGGCAAGGTATGTCTGGAGCGTGAGTCGTTCGTAGAAGATGATGTCGCGTGCTGCTACTGTTTCCTTGGAGTGGACGTCGAAGAATTTCCATGCGTGTAATTCTTTTTTATGCCGAGGTGTAGTCCCCACTGTGCGCGTTGTGAAAATCTTCCCGCTCGTGCTGCTGGGGGTCGGTACTGTACCATGCATCCGAACACTCGTAACATTTTTGTGCTGCCCTGTTTCCCTATCCACAGTAGGTGCGGTGATGCGTTGTTCGGAAGCGATGATGACGACAGCAAGTTGTGCAGCATGACAGCGTGGTCCATTGCTGCAGGCCACTGGTGGTTGGGTAGCCGCATGCCACGCAACAGTTTGCGCATGCTGTTCTGCAGAGTCCTGTTCATTCTTTCTGCTACACCTTGCTGTTGATGGGCGTAGGGAAGAGAGAGGAGCTGCTTGATGCCTCTTTCCGCCAGGTACTGCTTGAAGCGTTGAGAGGTGTATTCTCCTCCTCCGTCTGACTGGAAGCTTTTCAGCTTTACGCCCGACTCTCTCTCTGCTACTGGTAGCCAGGCAGCGAACGCTGCGAGGGCCATCTCGCGGCTGGGTAGGTTTAGATGCCAGACGTAGCGGGTGGCGGCGTCGATGAAGGTGATTGTGTAGTTGTAGATTACTTGTCCTGGTTCCCGATTGTACAGGATGTCGCTGTACACTTTTTCGAGTGGTGCGTACGCGGGTGCGCTCGGGTTGTGACGAGGAGCGAACGGCCGATGTGGTAAGTCGGCTTCGGGGCAGGTGAGGCATGTTCCTCGTGCTCGTTGAAGTTCTCTTCCGTCGAGTAATAGTAACGAGTCCTTGTCAAGGACTCCTGCTCTTATGGTGTTGTTTAACACAGTGTTGCTTGCGTGTCCCATTCTTGCGTGCCAGGTACTTTCGTCGGCGCGATGCCCGGGTGATCGTCGGTACATGTCGGAGTTGGAGTAAAAGCTAGCGATGAAGTTGGCGCTACGATGAACTTCTCGTGGTGCTGGGTGGAGCTGTTGTGCTGGTGTTGGCGGTGTTTCATCGACGAGGACTGGTGTCGTTGTTGCTGCTGCTCTTGTTGTTCCTGCTGCTGCCGATGTTGTCTCTGCTGCTGCTGATGTTGTTTCTGCTGCTGCCGATGTTGTTTCTGCTGCTGCCGATGGTGTTTTTGCTGCTGCCGAATGTTGAATGGTTACTAACGCGCATGTTCGTTCTGCTTCAGGAATGGTATGTGAATACCAAAAGCCTTCCGGACTGAAGTCTGGATCAAGATCTCGAGGGTGTGTCCAGTCGGCGAAGTTCACGATGGCGTCGCTGTCTGCGGTGCCCAGGTCTGGGACGAAGTCGAGGACGAAGACGTTGTTCTTCAGGACCGCCTTTCCGATGTAGAGGTCGCCCTTCTCGTGGTACAACTTGAACTCCTGGGTGGTACTGTCGACTTCCAGGTGTATGCCTTTCGCCATCAACTGACTGACACTTAGTAAGTTGTAGTCGAGTCCCTCCGCGATTAGTACCTTTGTCATCTGTAGTATGACATTTGTCTCTCGTGACTGAAGTTGCACAATTCCTTGTCGTCGTGTGCGCAGGTTTTGGTTGTTGGCGACTGTGATGACAACCTCTCGTTGAAGTCGGTGCTCGCGTTGAACGAAGCGTCCCGAGGAGCACATGTGCTGTCCGCAGCAACTGTCCAAGAACCACGTGTCTTTTTCGGACGGCTCGCTTTGAGCGATGGCGGCGTACGTCGGGTTCGGTTGAAGTGACTCGCGGCGAGGCGTGCTGTTGTTGAGTTGTTCTTCTGGTGAGTAATGTGGTGGTGACTCAGTTACGGAGGAGTCGCTTAGCCTTGCCATGCAGCTGACGATGTTTCTTGCTTCTTTTGCAGGTTGTCTTGTCGATGTTGTTGACACTTGTACCGAGGTTGTCGGACTTGCTTGTGTTGAGGCAACTTGACTGCTTGAAGGACGAAATTGGTGTTGCGGTGACGTTGACTGTTGTCGATTCGGGCAGTGAGTACGAGGATGCCCTGAAGTCTTGCAGATGTGGCAGAACGGAGGTACTGGCTTCGGTTGTTGCTGCCGGTTGTTGTTGTTGTAGTTGTAGCGTCGCTGAGTGTGGAATGCGAATTCGGGTACTGATGCCTTTTTCTTGTGTCGTTCTTCTTGCAGGTCCATGTCTTGCTGCTCAGCATGGATTTCGGCGCAGAGTGCTGCTTCGGAGATTCTCCCGTGTGATCGTAGTATGGCGCGAGTGGAGCGCCAGTGAGGACCAAGACCGCCGATGACAACCGTGACGAAGGCGTCTTCTGAAATTGATCCTCCACATCGAAGAAGCTTGTCGCGCAGCTCGCGGCAGCGACTGATATACGCCATTCCCTTCTCGCCTGGTTTCATTTCGATTGTTGTCAGTTGCGCCATTAACCGACTTTGGTTTACGCTGTCTGTTGCTTGATACAGGTTCTTCAAGTGGTTGTACGCGAGCTCCGCGGAGTTGCCATATCCTCGGTAAGTCCTGATGTTCTGCTGTTGAGTCGAGGTGATGTTCCTCAGTAGTATCGTGTACGCCATCATTGATTGATAAGTGTACTGCTGCTTCTCATACTGTGTGCCGTTTGTTGGGTATGGCAGGGACCCGTCGAAGAAGCCAAGAATTTGCGCTCCTTCCATCATCAGCTCGAATTCGAATGACCAGGTAAAGAAGTCCTTCCCGTCGAAGGGTTTTGTCGTTTGCAGTTTTAAGACGTGCGCGAACTGCGACTGAACTTGTAGTGCGTCCAACGTTCTTTCTTGTCCCGGTGCAGGTTGTGGTTGTGGCATGAAGCTGACGGAGCCGCGCTGGGGCTCGTACGGAGCAAAGGTAGGTTGTTGTTGTTGATTCCCGCGTGCGTAGGATGAGCCATCGAGACTCATGGGCGTCACGTTGTTGTTGTTGCTGTTGTTTGATTACGCAGGTACTCCTTGCTGGTGCTACTCGTAGAAGGACATGAAGGAGAAGAATTTCTCCATCATGCTTGGATCGAGGCCCGCGCCTTGGTTTGCGGGTGTTTCAGTAGACCCAGCGGCCGGTCTTGTTGTTGTGCCTTCCTCTGTCTGTAGGCCAGAGGCAGGAGGTGGAGTAGGAGTGGTACCACGAGAGCCGTTGGAGGAGCTTCTCTCCTTTCTGGTAGACATGTCTCTTGGTGTAATCAAAGGAGTAATAGAGTTTTTCCCTAACTGCTCTCATACCATTTTGGGCTGAATGCCCCTTAGGATCTTTGGTAGGATGAAACTCTAGGTAAAGTGATGTAATAGCGGAAGCGTTTAATGATAAGATTCTGAACCACCTTGCGCTGGTATGTGAGGGCAAAGTAAGTTGATTAAAGCAAAGAGATACAAGATTATATAAGGGTACAAGGAATACGAAGAGATACGATTGTAACTACTTTTACTGTTGCTGTTGCGGTTCGATACAGTGACGACTCGGGCAACTGCTCAATATCGAGTCAGTTGTGTGTCCTTGCTGTCGCGCTGCATTTGTCAAGTCAAAGGTCGCTGACCTTTGACCTTCGCGTAACCTCCAGCGGTTACTTCAACCTCCGAGGGTTGACTCGCTGGTGCCTCGATATGATTTGCTTCGCTTGTGCCTTGGTGTTTCGACACGATAGAAACGTTTTAGGACCGATTGTTTCCAACAATTAGAAAGGGTGGCCCAAAACCAATCAAGAGCCCTGCTTGCTACCGACTCGTAACACGTAGTCACCAACATAGAATACCGATCCGTGTGTTCAGAAATTCCATATATCTTCACACTGACAAGGAGGAAATGGAAGGGTCTGGCTGGTGAGAAAGTAGTTTCCAGAAAGGCGAGTACAGAATAATTCTCATTTGTCCCTGAACCAAGTACGGTACCACACCAGGAAAAAACTTACAATCACGCAAATCCAGTAAAGCATGCAGTGGTATTGCATGGGGCAAATGGAAATGTGTTTGGTGCTATCATGGATTCAGTGGTGAGAACAAAGGGCTTATGGTAGGGCCCGTGCTTGAAATCAACTTCAATAAACAGTGCTCGATACCCCACCTGTGCACAGGAGCGCGGGGGAGAGAACAGACGAAAAATGGTGAAATAAGGTTACCGGTATGAACGTGGTGATAAGATGGTTGAACACATCAAAGAAGCATCCAATTGGTGCGGTGCTGACAATGGAAAATGCGCCTCGCACTGGGGAGGCATTTGAAATGGTAAACAGAAAAGTAGAGCATCAAATGTTGGTAACTTAGGGGAACCAGCTTGAAAGACCACTACAGCTGGGAAAGCCATTACAGCTGGGAAAGCCACTACAGCTGGGAAAGCAACTACAGCTGGGAAAGCAACTACAGCTGGGAAAGCAACTACAGCTGGGAAAGCAACTACAGCTGGGAAAGCCACTGCAGCTGGGAAAGCCACTGCAGCTGGGAAAGCCACTGCAGCTGGGAAAGCCACTGCAGCTGGGAAAGCAACTACAGCTGGGAAAGCCACTACAGCTGGGAAAGCAACTACAGCTGGGAAAGCCACTACAGCTGGGAAAGCCACTGCAGCTGGGAAAGCAACTACAGCTGGGAAAGCCACTACAGCTGGGAAAGCAACTACAGCTGGGAAAGCCACTACAGCTGGGAAAGCCACTACGGCTGGGAAAGCCACTGCAGCTGGGAAAGCCACTGCAGCTGGGAAAGCCACTGCAGCTGGGAAAGCAACTACAGCTGGGAAAGCCACTACAGCTGGGAAAGCAACTACAGCTGGGAAAGCCACTACAGCTGGGAAAGCCACTGCAGCTGGGAAAGCAACTACAGCTGGGAAAGCCACTACAGCTGGGAAAGCAACTACAGCTGGGAAAGCCACTACAGCTGGGAAAGCCACTACGGCTGGGAAAGCCACTGCAGCTGGGAAAGCCACTACAGCTGGGAAAGCCACTGCAGCTGGGATAGCCACTACGACTGGGAAAGCCAGCGAAAGTGCAACGCAGTCACTGCTGAAGCACAACATCACATGCTGCTCCTCCTTTATAGGAACATTCCTTGTCCAGTCACAGTTGACTCAAAAAAGAAGATTCCCCATAAGAGGAGTACCACATCTCAATACTTGTTTGAACTTTGCCACACTTAATGAAATGATTCATTCAACAGTTCAACAATGATACACTTCAGAACACTTCATTATGACAAGTCACCACACTCAGTTCAACCACGCTTCATCCCACACACGCACCTTGGGAATGTCTTTGACCGACGAGCTGAAGTGCCAGAGCCCGTCAGGCTGCAGTGCGGGCGGCGAGACGGCGTGCAGGAGGAACGGGATGGGCTGCACACAGAGGGTGCCGAACTTGGCAATGTAGACATCCGAGCTCTTGAAGGGCACCATGCTGCCGAGGACAAGGGCACCGGGGTGGAGGGAAAGCGAGGAAAATAATAGTTAGTGGAGATAAATGGAGAGGTAAGGGCAGGGGAAGGAACCATTTTCTCACTCAGTAGTGAACACACACAGACAGGTTTGTTACCAAGTGCAACAGCACATGCACATGAACAGCAAGCAGAGTCACAACAATGAGGGCCCTGCACTCACCACCCTACCACCTCCCCTCCCTGCACTCACCACCCTACCACCTCCCCTCCCTGCACTCACCACCCTACCACCTCCCCTCCCTGCACTCGCCACCCTACCACCTTCCCCTGCACTCACCACCCTACCACCTTCCCCTGCACTCACCACCCAGCCACCTCCCTTCCCCTGCATGGCACTCACCACCCGGCGAGCCCTTGCTTCACGATGAGCCGGAAGTCCCGCCGCTTGCTGCCCGGCCTCGTGCGCCCAGTCCTGCATCCGGGGAGAGAGAGGCATGGAAAGGCGAAGTTGGGGTGGGGTAAATCGCGGGGGAGGGGAAGAGGAAGGGGGGGAGGGAGGAAGGAATGATATGGTGTGACTCACAGCAATGCGAGAGCCAGCTAGGGGGGTGAGAGCACGAGTTGCAGCGCAGAGGCGGTTCCTTACATCACTCTCATCAAGCCACCAGCCCCTTTTTCCACGCATCCCGTCACTCCTTGTTCTATGCAGCCCCTTGCATTACTGCGAGCCAGAAGCATTGACGAGCAGACTAGAGAAGGCCGGGGCCTGTGGAACAATTGACGTGCCTTGCAGTCAAGCCAGCATCCCTATCTTTCCCCAACCTGCAGGCAAGTGCTTTGGAGATTCCAGAAACGTCACTTGAAACGCATTCAGTCAACTCTCCTTGATCTCTGACAGCCATGCACCTTCCATTCCCACCACCGCTTCTTTGCACCCCTCCACGTATCCATTCCCCCCCTATCCCCCCTCCCCATCCCCATCCTCCATCACCCTACCCATCCCCCTCCCCCTCCCCCTCACCATGCTCTAACCGCCAACGGCTTCCTGTCTGACGTGGCATGGATGGTGAACGTGGACCAATCAAACCGCCACCTCAGCTGAGGCCAGTCGACAGCTGGCATCTCTGGTACACAGCCCCAAGGGGGGGACTGCACTGCTGCCACTGCTGCCACTGCTGCTGCTGCCTCTGCGTCTGGGAGACTGGAAGGCTGAGAGCTGTGAGGGTTGTGGGGGGTTTGAGGGGAAGGGGAGTCTGACGAGATGGAGGTGGTGTGGGGAGTGAGGGAGGAGGGGGTGGGGTTGGTGGGGCTCGTCCAGGTGAGGGAGGGGCGGGAGGAGGCGGGGCGAGAGGCGCAGGAGGAGTTGACGTGCAGGAGAGAGGTGAGGAAGGAGCCGGTCGCATCGTAGACCTGAAAGGTTGGGTGGTAGGAGACAGGGAAATCAGAGAAGGGGAGGGGGTGTCAACGGGGAGGGGGGTGTCAACGGGGAGGGGGGTGTCAACGGGGAGGGGGTGTCAACGGGGAGGGGTTGTAGAAGGCAAGGGGATAAGCGAGGGGGTTGAGGTGGGAGGCGACAGGAGAATAGGGGTGAGAAGAAAAAGGAGAGGGAGGCACCCTAAGTGTGCAGTATGAGGGGGACTGGGGGTGAGGGAGGGGGGAGGATGAGGGGGGAGGATGAGGGGGGAGGATGAGGGGGGAGGATGAGGGGGGAGGATGAGGGGGGATTTCAAAAGAGAGGGGACAAAAGGAGGGGACAGGGACGGCCTCATCAGAACCAGGAAGAGGGTGAGGCAGAAGGGGGTGAGGCAGAAGGGGGTGAGGCAGAAGGGGGTGAGGCAGAAGGGGGTGAGGCAGAAGGGGGTGAGGGAGGGGAAAACCATGGGCGCAGGAAGAACAGAAAAAGCATGGGTGGAGATTTGCGGAGTATGCAACGAGCCAATGAGCAGTGCCAGCAGCAGCTAATGGCAGCAGAGGAGAGGCAGGATGTGTCCTTTCAGATGTCCGACTGACCACAGGCAGAAAGAAGGGCGGCGAGGGTGAGAAGGAAGGGCGGCGAGGGTGAGAAGGAAGGGCGGCGAGGGTGAGAAGGAAGGGCGGCAAGGTTGAGAAGGCAGGGCGGCGAGGCTGAGGCGAAAGGACGGCGAGGGTGAGATGGAGTTAGCGGCGATGATGGGTGGGGAATGGAGAAAAACGACCACGAATGAAGGCGAGAATGGCGTAGGAGTAAAGGGGGAGGGAGAGGGATTGGGGGAGCGAAGAGGAAAAACGGAGGACCATTCCTACTGCAACACCTGAACGAGTTCTCTGAGAAGTCCAAATTTCGAGTTCTATTGCTGTGAGAGAGAAGAGCATTGAAGGGTAAGGCTGTACCCAGTGGGAGAGAAGAAGGATGGAGGGCAAGGCGAGGCGGTACGTACCCAGTAGGACTTCTGAATGACCATGTGGTCCAGGTTGGCCACGATCTTGAACAGCGTGGGCGGTGGCAGGTCGTTGAAATAGAAGTACCTGCCAGGGCCGGGCGCACCCACGAGGGGATCGGGAAGGCATGTACATACTTACAGTCATCTTCTGCGGAGAGAACTCGTATTAGCGAGAGGATGCGAGGAGGCTGAAACACACACACTTTGTAACACACATGTGTTAAAACACTAAGAAACAAAGCAGCAAGCAGCTGCTACCATTTAGCCTGGGGACGTGCACAAGTGCCGTGACATTGGGCACTCACGAGTCGTCCATGGGGCAGCAAGCAGCGACTCACGAGTCATCCATGAAGAAGAATTCGTCATTGGAGGCGGAGATGAGCAGCTTGGGCATGGTCAGGCGCTCCCTGAAGAAGTACGGGTCCGTGTAGCTCTGTGGGGGGGGGGGGAGGGGGGCGTTAAAGTGGGAGGGGGGTGGTTGGAGGGGTTGGGGGAGGTTGGTTTAAAAAGCTCGTTCAGGCTCTTGGAAATGAGCAGCTTCGGCATGGTGGGGCGCCTCCTGAAGAAGCACGTAGCTCTGTTGAGGGGGTGGGGACAAGGGGGAACGGAGGGGGCTATTTTCGAGAAAAGAGCAGTTAGCCAAGGTAGCTGCAAGTGCACTGCCTGCGGCATGATTGCCCTGTGGCATGAGTGCCCTGCGACAGCTTGCCAGCCAGAACCACGTGTTATCTGTCAAGCAGGTACGGAGTTAAGGCAAAGGGCTTTGAGAAATCTCATACGCATGCTCCCCGTGCTCTATCTACTGTCTCCTCCTGCCCGCCACCGGCTGACTGCAGAGCTGCCCCTTCGTGGCTTTAACTGATGTTCGCATTCCAGGCAGTCATGACATCACTCAGTCTATGCATCGCACACAGTCATGACATCACTCAGTCTATGCATCGCACACAGTCATGACATCACTCAGTCTATGCATCGCACACAGTCATGACATCACTCAGTCTATGCATCGCACACAGTCATGACATCACTCAGTCTATGCATCGCACACAGTCATGACATCACTCAGTCTATGCATCGCACACAGTCATGACATCACTCAGTCTATGCATCGCACACAGTCATGACATCACTCAGTCTATGCATCGCACACAGTCATGACATCACTCAGTCTATGCATCGCACACAGTCATGACATCACTCAGTCTATGTATCGCACACAGTCATGACATCACTCAGTCTATGTATCGCACACAGTCATGACATCACTCAGTCTATGCATCGCACACAGTCATGACATCACTCAGTCTATGCATCGCACACAGTCATGACATCACTCAGTCTATGTATCGCACACAGTCATGACATCACTCAGTCTATGCATCGCACACAGTCATGACATCACTCAGTCTATGCATCGCACACAGTCATGACATCACTCAGTCTATGCATCGCACACAGTCATGACATCACTCAGTCTATGCATCGCACACAGTCATGACATCACTCAGTCTATGCATCGCACACAGTCATGACATCACTCAGTCTATGCATCGCACACAGTCATGACATCACTCAGTCTATGTATCGCACACAGTCATGACATCACTCAGTCTATGTATCGCACACAGTCATGACATCACTCAGTCTATGTGTCGCCAAAGTTGACATCACTCAGTCTATGTATCGCACACAGTCATGACATCACTCAGTCTATGCATCGCACACAGTCATGACATCACTCAGTCTATGCATCGCACACAGTCATGACATCACTCAGTCTATGCATCGCACACAGTCATGACATCACTCAGTCTATGCATCGCACACAGTCCTGACATCACTCAGTCTATGCATCGCACACAGTCCTGACATCACTCAGTCTATGCATCGCACACAGTCATGACATCACTCAGTCTATGCATCGCACACAGTCCTGACATCACTCAGTCTATGCATCGCACACAGTCATGACATCACTCAGTCTATGCATCGCACACAGTCATGACATCACTCAGTCTATGCATCGCACACAGTCATGACATCACTCAGTCTATGCATCGCACACAGTCATGACATCACTCAGTCTATGTATCACACACAGTCATGACATCACTCAGTCTATGCATCGCACACAGTCATGACATCACTCAGTCTATGCATCGCACACAGTCATGACATCACTCAGTCTATGCATCGCACACAGTCATGACATCACTCAGTCTATGCATCGCACACAGTCATGACATCACTCAGTCTATGCATCGCACACAGTCATGACATCACTCAGTCTATGCATCGCACACAGTCATGACATCACTCAGTCTATGCATCGCACACAGTCATGACATCACTCAGTCTATGCATCGCACACAGTCATGACATCACTCAGTCTATGCATCGCACACAGTCATGACATCACTCAGTCTATGCATCGCACACAGTCATGACATCACTCAGTCTATGCATCGCACACAGTCATGACATCACTCAGTCTATGCATCGCACACAGTCATGACATCACTCAGTCTATGTGTCGCACACAGTCATGACATCACACTGCTGCCCTGTAATGGTGCCACTTCAAGCCCCTCAAGCACTTTCCAACTGGAGTTCAAACCTCTTCCCCTTCCTCCCTCACTCTTCCTCCCTCCCTCCCTCTTCCTCCCTCCCTCGTCCTCCCTCCCTCGTCCTCCCTCCCTCTTCCCCCCCCCCCTCCCTCCCGCCATTACTGTCCTCCTCCCGCCCACTCTAGACCTGGACCCAACCCAAACCCTAACCCAAAACCCCAAACCTCAGGCGTACCAGAAGGGGGGGCAGCAGGGGCGAGTGCAGGAAGTGCGTGAGGTTGTAGTCCACATAGAAGCGCCCCAGGATGGGCACGGCGCCCACCGAGTCGAGCAGATGCTGCAGGTTGGGCTGGAGGTTGATGAGATCATAGCCGTACGCTATGAAGGCCACCACTCGCTGTGGCGAGAGACAGGGAGAGAGAAAGAGGCAGCGTGGGAGGAGGGATGGAGGTGGTAGGGTTGGGGTGAGTGCTGGCAACAGGTGTGAGGTGGTGCATGGTGGGATCAAAGTTGACGTGATGGTAGCTGTGCAAGATGACGGCCACTACAGCACAAGATGAAGGCACACCACAGCACAAGATGACGGCCACTACAGCACAAGATGACGGCCATTACAACACAAGATGACGGCCACTACAGCACAAGATGATGGCCACTACAGCACAAGATGACGGCCACTACAGCACAAGATGACGGCCACTACAGCACTCGCTGCAGCGAGCAAGGGGGAGATAGAGAGGCAGAGTAGGAGGCAGGAGGGAAGGAGTACAGCTTGGGTGTTGGGGACCAGCTGGGTATGTAGAGGGGAAGAGAGAGGGAGGGACAGAGAGAGGGAGGGACAGAGAGGAGGGGCAGAGAGAGGGAGGGACAGAGAGAGAGAGGGACAGAGAGAGGGAGGGAGCATACTGAGGGCAGCGGAAAGAAGATGCGGAAAGGAGGAGATGCATTGTGAAAGCCAATACACAAAGGCACATTCAATTTCAGCTGAAAAAAAAAAACACAAACTGTAAATAAAAAAAAAACAAAACAAAAAAAGAGGAAGTACATGCAGAATAAAGAAAGGAGGAGGACGTGCCTTATCAAGAGCTGCAGAGAGCCACGCCATGTGCGCACGCTTGCTCACTCCGACACTCACGAAGGCCTCCACCTGGTGGAGGGAGGGAGAATGGAGAATGGGGCACGCAAGGGATACGCATAGGGGATGGCAAGAGAGAGTGGCATGGAGTGAGGTGGAGGAGCGAGAAACTGCGCCACGTGTCATTCATCCATCACCCATCCCATCCATCACCCATCCCATCCATCACCCATCCCAACCATCCATCATCCCAACCAACACCCATCCCAACCATCACCCATCCATAACTCTCATGCCTCAATGCATGCACTCCAGCTGCCAGCATCCATCATCCATGACTCATCATCCACCACCCATCATCCATGAATCATGCAGAAATATTAGTCTTGTAGCCGGCCATTGCAGTAATATCAGATCAACTGAAAGTCCAATAGATCCCCACTTGGGAGACATGACTTTGCATGGCGGCAGCTTAGTTTATATAAGAGATCTGTTTGTAGTAGGCCTGCTTAGAAACAACCATTTGCGTAGCAATTGGTGGTAACTAGTTTCGGCCTTCTTCAGACCACAAAGGCAACAATGAAAGCAAGCACCCTAAAAATACCGATCCCGAGGTTTCAGCGCAAGGCATTCCTTTGCAAGGCTGGGATGGCAGGGAAAAGTTCCAGTAAAAAATGAACAATAATTTCACGGGCACATGCAGCAGCAGCTCTCTAGCAGCGATGGGCATGGCGTTCAGGGTGCGGATGATGACTTGGCCATGGGTATAAAGGGGCATCTAGATGGGCATGTGGATGGGCCACTCGGGAAGCGGAGAGACGTGAAGGGACCTGGCAGTACCTACCCAGTACCCCTGCAAGCAGCGGCACTCACGGGCACATGTGGAAGCATCTGTCTTGCAGCAAGCTGCACGGCATCCATGGCGCGGACTATGGACTTGGCCATGGGCATGAAGATGGGCCACTCGGGCGTGCTGGGGTCATACAGTGCCATGCCCATGGTGACTGGTGGACGAGGTGTGCGGAGGGTGAGGGGCGAGGAGGGGGATTGGGCGAGAGTAGGAAGGTGAAATCCTGGGTCAGCGCTCATATCCCCACATCCACTCATATCTGTTGATTGTGTAGGTGTGGTATTTTGCTCTAGCTGGTTGTGGGCTAAGGGTTTGGGCAAAATGTGTTTGTTAGACTTGTTGCGGGCTGGAATTGATCTCGCACCCAACAAGCACCAACAAACATTTGTTATTCACTACAACACTTTTGGTGTTGATAGTTTAACACTTTGGGTTGTTTGGGATTGTTGTAGGGCGAGGGTTGGGTTGGTCGAGTTTGAACAACTTGTCACTTTGCAGATCTGAACTCTTGATAAAGCTACTCTCTTGATCTAATCCATGGTTGTCAAGCAATTTCGCCAGGATACCCCATCGCACTTAAATTGCGATAGCGATCGGCCTAGATCTTGGTTGAAGGCGTGCGTTACCATTCTGGAAAGTAGATATAAAGCCATTTCCAACGCGTACCTGCTCATAGTTTAAGGTTACGTGAGTTGCACGCAATGTTCCGTCGAAGTCGACGGACTTAATCTCTTGTTACGCTCTTTAGATTCGCTCGCTTTCCATTAAAGGTATCAGAGCTGGTTAGGCCTGCGACATTCCCTCTTTTCATCACATTCCTAATTGGCTTAAGAACCTCCACATCTAGTGTTGGTTATGACCCTGAAACTAGATGGACCTCCTAGGTTCACCGGCTCGGATTTTTCGCTTTAGTGATTCCAGTTTATGCTTTGGCTATGTATTAAAGACCTAGAGGGCGTTTAGGAGGGATCGGAGCGAAGATCTGAAGCTGATGAAGGAAAGGCATCTGCTGGAGTCTCTAGCCAAGAGGGAGAAGGGGCTGGAGGAGCCTCTAGTTCATCTATAAGTAAGGTAAGTGGAGGAGGATCAGCATCACCGCGAACCGGAAGGCAACGGCTTAGTGTGGAGGAGCTACTTAAGGCACAGAAAGCATGGGACCGCAAGGACAAGCAAGCGTTCCAGTGCCTATGTTGGGCTTTTGAAGGCCAATTAGAGCTCCTAAAAATGGTGATTGACCTGAAGGGCAAGCAAGGAGCAGCTGCACTAGCATGGAAGAGAGTTCAATATCGTCATTTGCAAAAACGGTTGCTAAACATACTCACCTCGAAGTAGCGGTTCTACACCATGGAACGCAACTATGGCGATGGGGAGACCATGGTGCAGTACCTCCAGATAGGGATGAGCAAAATGGCGAACTTGCTTTCCATTTTTTGGTTTAAATGTTCGCACGAACATGTTCGGGTTCGACCCGAACTTGTTCGCACGTTCGTGGCGCGCGCATGTCTAGTGCCTGAACATCGAACATGTTCGGGCATCGAACCCGTTCTCCCAAACATTTTGATGTTCGGGATGATTCCAGCTCGATAAGGTCGCGCTGGTTGGTTACAAAAAGGACGGGAAGAGCAGATCGAGCTGTTTCTCAGCTCAATCTACTTTTCCTAGGGTTGATCTAGCCTAAGCGCCACCCAACGTACCTTCCTATACTAAATCGCCCACACCAACTGTTAGTTAGGCACCAATGGGGTGTTAAGGCCGTTATTTAGGGTTATACTAGCAGGTTTTGGTTTAAGTTATGCTATGCCTTGTTGTCAGTGCTCCTCTTCACGGCTCTGAAACACCCGTTCCATGGTTTAAGGGTGGGTACAAGGGGTGGGACGGTAAAGTAATGAGCATCCATTTCCCATTGGGAGCTCAGAACCCCTAAAACAAAAGCAGGTTCCCCCCCCCCCCCCCCCCGCCCCCCCCCCTGCAGTGGGCGAACCCGAACATGTTCGGGTTCGCCCGAACATCTCTGATGTTCGGCCCCCTTTAGTAGGTTCGGCCCCCTTTAGTAGGTTCGCCCACAGTGGGCGAACCTCGAACATAAGATTTCAGTAAAAAGTGTTTGGGCGAACCGAACAAGTTCGGTTCGCCCACTGAGTGTGTTCGTTACAGTTCAGACGAACATGTGAGTATGTGAGGGCATTGGAGGAGCTGAACTATGAAGTAGATGAGAAGGAGATTCTTTGCACCGCACTCCAGGGGCTGGACCAAGAGGCGAACGAGGCCCTACTGCAGTACCTTCACATTGAGCAGCAGAAATGAACCAAGGCCTGGACTTGGGAGGTGTTGATTTATGATGAGGCTCGCAAGCGTGATGCTAGGGATGAGCAAGGTGGCGAACACCTGTTCGGTTCGCCTCGAACGTGTTCGAGGCGAACCGGACAGGTTTTGTTTTTTTAGCTCAAATCGTTCGCCGAACAGTGTTCGATGTTCGCCCGAACACGTTCGTGTTCGGGCTGCTGCTGAAATTTGCCCGCGACGAACACGAACGTGTTCGAGGTTCGCCCGAACACGCCTCCACAGGCGAACAGCGAACACCTGTTTTTTCCTAAACTGTTCGCCGAACCGAACACTGTTCGGTTCCGCAAAAGAGGGTGTTCGACAAGGGGCGAAGACGAACATGTTCGTGTTCGCCCTTTGCTCATCCCTAGGTGGAGCTGTGATGATGGAGGCAAAGTTAGAGAAGGGTCTATACCTTGTTCCAGTTTGTGTGCCTCAGATGGAGAGGGCACGTGGTGTTGAAGCCGAGGAAGCTGTTTGTAGCACCCGTTGGAGGGACGTGGAGCAGGTGACAGCAAATTTGCTACATTTACGCATGAGGCATGCGGGAAGGCAGCAACTTGTGGAGTGTGTGAAGAAGGGGGAGCTGAGAGGTGTGGAGATCAAGGAGGGTGGTGGGCAGCCAAGCAAGTGCCCTAATTGCACGACCGGGAAGCTGCGAAGGACCTCCTTCCCTGCCTCCACCACTAAAGCCTCCGCACCTCTTGAGTTGGTGCACATGGATGCATGTGGCCCCATGCAAACACCGGATAGGGAGAATGGCAGCAAATACTTCATCATTTTCTTGGATGACTTCAGCCGCCTAGGTTGGGTTATCTTGGTGAAAACCAAGGATGAGGTGGTCAAGGTCTTGAAGCGTTGGATACGCTATGCGGAAAGGGAAGCCGGGGCGAAGGTGAAAATACTAAGGTCTGATTAGAGTGGGGAGTACATGGGGAAGGATCTAAAGTCTTTCCTTGAAAACAAGGGCATCACCCACCAGCTTTCAGTTGCCTACATGCCACAGCAAAATGGGGCAGCGGAGCAGCTAAACTGGACCCACATTGACCTTGCCCGAGCCATGCTTGCTCATGCGTAGCTGGACCATACTTGGTGGGGGGCAGCAGTGCAATATGCCAACTGGGTTAAGAACAGAATGGGCAGCAAGGGGCTGGGGGGCAAGAGCTCTTACTTCATGTGGAACAGTAAGGTGCCTAGTGTGTCCATAACACGAGTGTGGGGGTGCACGGCGCAACAGAGGAAGTTGGATCTTCTTAAGGCACAACGGGGCATTTTTCTTGGGGTGTCGGAGAGGAGCAAAGCTTGGATGTTGTGAAGTGTGGCGGATCAGCGGGTGGTGGAAAGCAGGGATGTGGTTTTCCACAAGGCGCTGAGTTACAAGGGGTGGAAGGAGCATGGTGCTAGTACAGTTGGGAGCTCCCTTCAGGATCCCTACATCTTTTCCATCTTTGAGGGAGCATGGGAGGACACTGGAGAGGAAGTAGAGGAGCAGGAAGAGGAAAAAAAGGCAGCTGCACCTCACCATGAGGAGTCACCAACTGCTGGTTCTACCCATGAACCTAACGCACCAGCCCATGACCCGGAGCGGCCACAAGGGCAACAGCAGCAACAAGAAAAGCTGCAGCAATTTCCACAAGAGCATACACTGCCTGTTCCTGTGGTTAGGTGGCAGCAACTATTGGAGCAGCAGCTATCCAAGTGAGTGACTTGGAAGGAGAAGCTACAAGCTTTGGAGCAGGGGGAGACATCACCTCTGCGCCGCACCACACGCATCTCCCGGCCACCTGACAGGTTCACACCAAGTGCACAGTATGTTTGCATGCATGATCATGAGGTGCATGATTTGGAGGAGTGCATGCTTGTGGATGCTGAGGGGGGTGAGCTTGGGCTTGATTTCTGTCTCATGTGTCAGGTGCATGAGCCTAAGTCGGTCAAGGAGGCCTTGTCCTGTCCTGAGTGGGTCGAGTCCATGCGTGAGGAGCTTGAGTTTCATAGGGTGAACGAGTCTTTTGAGCTGGTTGATCCAGCTTGTGTGCCACCTGGAATGGAGGTTTTGAGGTGTCAGTGGGTATGGAAGTGTAAGCACATGGCTCATGAGAGTATTGAGAAGCCTAAGTCCAGGTTGGTGGCCATGGGGAACACTCAAACACGAGGCGTTCACTATGACCAGGTATATACCCCGGTGGGTAAACCTACCACCCTGAGAGGTCCCCGTGGCATGGCAGCATCTTCGAGGTTTCACATCCATCATATGGATATGACCACTGCCTATCTCCATGGGGTCTTGAAGGAGGAGCTTTACATGAGGCAGCCCCCTGGTTTTGATGATGGATCCGGCAGGGTTTGCCGACTCAAAAAGTCAATCTATGGGCTAAAGCAAGCTCCAAGGCAGTGGTACCTCAAATTTTATGAGGCGCTGATGGATTTTGGCTTTGAGAGGTCGGGGTGTGACCCCGGCTTGTACCACTTGGTGAGGCGTGAGGGCAGGCTATCCCTCTACCTCTGTGGATGACATTCTGCTCATGTCTTTGAGCATGGTTTTGCTGGACGAGGTGAAGAGTCTCTTGTCCTCTCGTTTCCGCATGAAGGACTTGGGGGAGGCTAAGTACTATGTGGGGGTGCAGATTGAGCGTGATGAGAGTGGCATCTTGATTCATCAGGAGAGGTACATTCTCAACATGCTTGAGTCCTTTGGCCTTTCTGAGGCTAACCCCGTGCGTACCCCTCTCTCTACAAGATTCGACATGCATGCACATGCTGAGGAGCCCTTGCTGCGAGATGAGTTGGTCTAGCTCTATCAAAGCATTGTGGGGTCTTTTATGTATGCAAGCACGACCACACAGCCCCAGATTGTTTATGCAATGTCACAGCTGTCCAAGGTGGTGTCTTGTCTCAAGGCATTCCACCTAGGGATGAGCAAAGGGCGAACACGAACATGTTCGTCTTCGCCCCTTGTCGAACACCCTCTTTTGCCGAACCGAACACTGTTCGGTTCGGCGAACAGTTTAGGAAAAAACAGGTGTTCGCTGTTCGCCTGTGGAGGCGTGTTCGGGCGAACCTCGAACACTGTTCGTGTTCGTCGCGGGCAAATTTCAGCAGCGGCCCGAACACGAACGTGTTCGGGCGAACATCGAACACTGTTCGGCGAACGATTTGAGCTAAAAAACAAAACCTGTTCGGTTCGCCTCGAACACGTTCGAGGCGAACCGAACAGGTGTTCGCCACCTTGCTCATCCCTAATTCCACCTGCAGGCTGCTAAGAGAGTGCTAAGGTACCTGAAAGGTTGTGCCAAGTCAGGTATCTTCTACCCCGCACACAGCAAGCCTCAAGTTGAGTTGGTGGGCATTAGTGATGCTGATTATGCTGGAGATTCAGCTAATCGCAAGAGTCACACCGGCTATGTCTATTGCCTTAATGGTGCAGCCATCTCTTGGCAGAGCAAGAGGCAGCCGGTGGTTGCATTGTCCACCACTGAGAGTGAGCACATCAGTCTATGTCAATGCACTCAAGAGGGTGTGTGGCTGAAGCGTTGTTTCGGAAGTTTGGGCATGAGTTTGCTGATGGTGTGCCTGTGTTAGTGGACAACCAGTCTGCCATTGCCCTTGCACCGAATGCATGCTTGCACGGCCGCACCAAGCACATGGAGGTTCGGTGGCATTTCATCAGGGAGATGGTGGCAAGCGGCGAGGGGTGTGTGCATGTCCTTGATGGGGATGCAGCCCCATGTTGGCTGGTGCTTCTCTGCCTTGACGACACCATGCTGTGGATGGCGACCCTCCTTGGGCAAGAGGGAGTGGAGTAAAGGATTTTGCCTAGTAGTGTTCAACCACCTCCAGCACGAGCAAAAGGGAGTGTTGATTATGTAGATGGTTGTGGTATTTTGCTCTAGCTAGTTGTGCGCTAAGGGTTTGGGCACAATATGCTTGTTAGACTTGTTGCGGGCTGGAATTGATCTCACACCCAACAAACATCAACAAACATTTGCTATTCACTACAACACATTTGGTGTTGCTAGTTTAGCACTTTGGGTTGTTGAGAATTGTTGTAGGACGAGGGTTGATTTGGTAGGGTTTGAACAACTCATCACTTTGCAGATCTGAACTCTTGCTAAAGCTACTCTCTTGATCCAATCCATGGCTGTCAAGCAATTTCGCCAGGATACCCTGTCGCACTTAAAACGCGATAGCGATCAGCCTAGGTCTTGGTTGAAGGCGTGCGTTACCATTCTGAAAAGTAGAGATTAAGCCCTTTCCGACGCGTACCTGCTCATAGTTTAAGATTATGTGAGTTGCACGCAATGTTCCGTCGAAGTCGGCGGACTTAATCTCTTGTTACACTCTCTAGATTCGCTCGCTTTCCATCAATACCCTCACATGCACTCATATTCTCTCACATGCACTCATATCCTCACATGCGCTCATATCCTCACATGCACTCATATCCTCACATGCGCTCATATCCTCACATGCACTCATATCCTCACATGCGCTCATATCCTCACATGCACACATATCCTCACATGCACTCATATCCTCACATGCACTCAAATCTTCACATACACTCATATCCTCACATGCACTCATATCCTCACATGCACTCATATCCTCACAGGCACTTATATTCTCAGATGCACTCATATCCTCACATGCACTCATATCCTCACATGCACTCATATCCTCACATGCACTCAAATCCTCACATGCACTCATATCCTCACATGCACTCATATCCTCACATGCACTCATATCCTCACATGCACTCATATCCTCACATGCACTCATAACCTCACATGCACTCATATCCTCATATGCACTCATATCCTCACATGCACTCATATCCTCACATGCACTCATATCCTCACATGCACTCAAATCCTCACATGCACTCAAATCCTCACATGCACTCATATCCTTACATGCACTCATATCCTCATATGCACTCATATCCTCACATGCACTCATATCCTCACATGCATTCATATCCTCACATGCACTCATATCCTCGCATGCACTCATATCCTCACATGCACTCATATCCTCACATGCACTCATATCCTCACATGCACTCATATCCTCGCATGCACTCATATCCTCACATGCACTCATATCCTCGCATGCACTCATATCCTCACATGCACTCATATCCTCACATGCACTCATATCCTCACATGCACTCATATCCTCACATGCACTCATCTCCTCACATGCATTCATATCCTCACATGCACTCATATCCTCACATGCACTCATCTTAGGGATGAGCAAAGGGCGAACACGGACATGTTCGTGTTCGCCCCTTCTCGAACACGTCCTTTTGCCGAACCGAACAGTGTTCGGTTCGGCGAACAGTTTAGCCAAAAACAGGTGTTCGCTGTTCGCCTGTGGAAGCGTGTTCGGGCGAACCTCGAACACGTTCGTGTTCGACACGGGGCGTTTTGCAGCAGCGCCACGAACGAACACGAACGTGTTCGGGCGAACATCGAACACGTTCGGGCGAACGATTTAAGCTGAAAAACAAAACCTGTTCGGTTCGCCTCGAACGTGTTCGAGGCGAACCGAACAGGTGTTCGCCACCTTGCTCAAGCCTAACTCATCTCCTCACATCACATGCACTCATCTGCTGTTGCTGCTGCTGCTGAACCCAGTGGGAGTACGGCACACTCTCGGGGGGCGGACTCCCCTACAGGCTGTCATCTCTTCCTCTCGCACATTCTACCTTTTGCTGCTGTTGCAGTGCAGCTGACACCCCGGGGGATACGGACACACTAGAGCATGACTCGCTTACAAGCTGCTGTCTCCTACTCGTGCAACTCTTTGCTTGCTCTGCTGCATCTCATGCCAGCGAGAAGGCACACATGCTACAGGCTGACGCCGTACAGGCTGGGGTCTGCTCCTCTATCAGCTCTTTGCTTCAGCTCTGCTGCTGACGCCAGGGGGAATTTGGCCGCGCTATAGGCCGACTTGCTTACAGGCTGTGATCTCCTCCTGAAGCTCTTCACTCATGCTGCGGGTGACGCCAGGCGGGGCGACGTGGAAGGTGATGGGCATCATAGGCTGCTGGTGCACCATCACTCCCATCATGCCCAGATCCACCAGCAGCCTGCATGTGAAGTGAGCAAGGGAGGATGCATGCACGGGCACCAGGTGATTGATGGGCAAGGCCTGCGGTTGAGAATTCTCAAAAGAGACACCAATGTAGCATGACGGCATTGGGAGAGGGCGGGGAAGAAGGGAAGATGCAATGGGCACAAGGCTCATGGCCCTCCCGCTCACACCCCACCCGCTCACGCCCCTTCCGCTCACGCCCCTCCCACTCACGCTCCTCCCACTCACGCTCCTTCCACTAGCGCCCCTCCCACTCACGCTCCTCCCACTCACACTCCTCCCACTCACGCTCCTCCCACTCACGCCCCTCCCACTCCCGCCCGTCCCTGCCACTCACGGGGCAGCGACGTGGATGTAGACGTCGGTCGTATCGGGGATGGTGTAGCGCCGGTCGTCCCGGCCGTGGTCATTCCACCCCGCCCCAACGAACAACAACACGAGCCCCTTGCTGGCGCTTGACAAGTTGTCCGGCACCTGGGCGGGCGGGAGGAGCAAGCACAGCCACAAGGCATGCATTAAAGACTTCAGGCCTGGACGCCTCACCCCCCCGCAGCACATTAGATGGCACGCGGACCAAAGTGAGGAAGGGCATGCGGAACACTGCTGGCGTTAGGCGTGCCATCTGGAGCATGGGAGGTCCAGACGAAGGACAGCCTGCAGCCATTGAAAGTCAGTGCATTGAAGGTCACTGCATTGAAGGTCAGTGCATTTGAAGGTCACTGCATTGAAGGTCACTGCATTGAAGGTCAGTGCATTTGAAGGTCACTGCATTGAAGGTCAGTGCATTTGAAGGTCACTGCATTGAAGGTCAGTGCATTGAAGGTCACTGCATTGAAGGTCAGTGCATTGAAGGTCAGTGAATTGAAGGTCAATGCATTGAAGGTCAATGAATTGAAGGTCAATGCGATGAAGGTCAATGAATTGAAGGTCAATGCATTGAAGGTGAATGCCTTGAAGGTCAATGCATTGAAGGTCAACGCATTGAAGGTCAATGCATTGAAGGTCAACGCATTGAAGGTCAATGCATTGAAGGTCAACGCATTGAATGTCAATGCATTGAAGGTCAATGCATTGAAGGTCAATGCATTGAAGGTCAACGCGTTGAGGGTGAGGCTACAGGCATTGCCACTGCTCCGCATATACACCCATTTGGCTCCCCATCCCATGGCACAGTACCCCATGGCACAGTACCCCATGGCACAGTACCCCATGGCACAGTACCCCATGGCACAGTACCCCATGGCCCTGCACAAAACGGCACCCATACCACACTGCAGTGATCAAGTGTATGTGACAACAAGACCACAGGCACCGATGCTTACCAGTGTTGCTTTCCAAACGTACTTCAATCTAGCTCATGCACCGCCTGTACTGCTTGTTCCCACCATATCGGAGTCTGAACTCACAATAAGCGTCACGTGATGCCACCAGTAAAATCGGTTAGTAACGGATTGGTTGAGCCAGCGTTGGGTTCTCACCAGCAGCACATACCCCGTCCACCACCCCCCACGCTCCTTGGCTCGCATGCGATTGCCCGTGTCCTTCCACCTGCCAGGCCAGCAGCAGGGCGGGATGGGTTGCTGGGAGTGAGAGCACTGTGCAGCCACCCTCCAGGCTCCTTGGCTCTCATGCGATTGCCCGTGTCCTTCCAACTGCCAGGCCAGCAGCAGGGCAGGGCAGAGAGAGCAACGACCGCCATAGGTCGGATGGGTTGGTAAGAGAGAGTGACAGTGGCGTTGAGGCATTGATATTGGTAGCTGAAGGAAGGTGGAGGAGGGCACTACATAAGGACACATATCTCTACGACACATACCTCTACGACACATATCTCTACGACACATATCTCTAGGATACATAACGCAGATAATGCAGAGCTAGAAAACGGAGATAGAAGGCTCAAGGCAGGTTTGGGATCAGTGGTCACTCACACACCCCATCCTCCGCTCCACCCTCCAGGCCCCTTCGCCTGCATGCAGTTACCTGGTTACCCACGAGTCCTCCCACTCGGGTAAATGAATGCTCGTGACTGAGCGAGAACATGCAGGAGTGGTGCACGGCTCAACCACGAGGTGATTTAAATGTTCAGGCCGTCAGCTTGTGCTTATAACGAGCGTGCACGATGAAGCAAGAGACTTCAGTCTGCAAGGGGTCACTGAGCAGCGCAGGACCCTCTGGAGAACTATGGGTTGTGATTTCGACTCACGCATGGCACAGGGGGGAGTGCATGGCTAGTTTAAGGCCGTCTTTCGCTTCTGCAAAGTAGAATGATTTTTGCTGTATGCAACCGTTGAAAACTCACCCGAATTCCGCATCCGCGGTATAAACATATCTGTCCAGCAGTGTGCCGTGACAGTTCCTCGCCGTCTCGCAGCCGCTTTGCGGGAAAGGGGTCGATTCAGAGGACTGTGCGGTTTCCGAGGAGAGCAGGCTGGGTCGCAGCTCGAAGATCGCCAAGTAAGCGACGGTCAGCGCGACGGCGACAGGCAGAATGCGACGAGTGAGAGCCGCTTGGAGGCGCCTGGCGACGACGCCAGGGCCCGACGCGTGCATAATGAGCTGCTCGTTAAGGGATACTGATTGCTTCAAGAGAACTCCTGCAGTCAGTCGGCTCACTACTAGAATCTCAATACGTCAATCTTGCTAAACACCAGAGTGCATTGTTCATCGTCGATCTCAACCGACTCCACTGGAGGCGACGACGATAAACCACAGCAGATAGTTTTCGGGTTGTGGGTTCAGTATAAAGGTTTCATCCTGGTGCGCACTGGTCTACAGTGGTGAAAACTTAAACCGCGTCTGAGCTTGATTGACCGTATTGACCAGGTCAACGGAAAAGTATGACCGTCCTAAATAGTTTCTAGCTGGAATATCGAACCAGGTACTGCAACGGCTCACCTGTGGAAACACATCGTACATAAGTTGGTTCGATTGAGGGATAACAAACAAGCAGCGGCTGCTCGACAACAGGGCTATGACTTTGGTTTGGAGCACCAGATCAAGAAAGAGTGACTTTCGTGCGCCACCTAGCCCCATCGACTGGCACTCTCCATTTGCAGGGTACGGCCTTGTAAATACGGCTGCGAACTACGCTAAGGGCGTGCAAACTAGCGTTCAAAAAGGTTTGAATTAATGTGGTAACTCGTCTTCGTGCACCTCGCAAATCACATTCGCGAGGAGTTTTTGAAAAAGTTAACACTTTCGACTTTGACGTGTTCAGCCACATTCGAACAGCACTCCCGATCGCGGTTCGGGCTCCAAACTTGTGCGACGTTCACGACATGCCGACGCTCACGACATGCCGACGTGTGAGGTTTGACTTAATCAAGTTGTAAAACAGAGGAGCTCTGATGACTGGAAGGCTGGAAACTTGGCTGGAAAAGCTCAACAAAGCTACTGGAGTTGGCTTGATGAGAGAAAACTTACACTATGCTCAAGATTGTACAAGCCCACTAAGGCACAACTTCTAAAGCATTACAATCATGTAGATTGATAGCTCAAACTAGGCTGCTAGACAAGGCAACTTCCTGGAGAACTTGGGCACAATTCAGATTCCATGAACCTTGAGTGACTTGAGAGCCACATGAGGTGCATGAATAAGAAAGCTCTGGAATTCTCTGTCATAGCTGATTTTGTTTGGTAGAAACCTGTAGAAACTGTTGACACTTCTGTGAAGATTAGAACGAGAGAATGAAGAAGAGAGGAAGGGGTTTCACTAGCTGCAATGAGGATACATATATCAAACCCTAGATGGGTTGTACTCGCTATAGAGCACCCCACTACAGGCTAGAGAATAACATTCTGACACACCCCCATAGCCAAAGTGGGGTGTAATCAGCACAATGAGCAAGCAGGCATAGAGCAGGACTTCACAATAGCGAACAAAGCTAGAGTCATTCACAAAGAGCAAGTGAGGAGGAGGAGGCGAGACTGTAAGAGGAGAGGAGATAGGAGGCGACGGCTGAAGCTGCAGACACATGGGCAACAGGAGTCACATTGGCACAGCGGCTACCGGAACAACGCTCCGGACTACTGGAGTAACTGGCTCCGCGGCTAAAACTAGCGGCAGACGAGCAACGGACCCACGAGCGACTGGCACAGCTGGCTACGACTGGGCTACCGGAGCAACGCCCCGGACTACTGGTGCTGCTGACGACACGACAACAACCTCCGTTCAACCAACCTCCTCCAACTGCCCCACACCTCTCGACACACACCCCCTGCTCAAACCCTAGCTCCACTCCCATAGCACCCCCCTTACACCCTAAACCGCAGGCTCACACACATCCACCTCCCTTAAAACCCTAGCTCCACTCTCACAGCAACCCCCTTAAACCCTAAACCCCAGGCTCCCACGCATCCACCCCCCTCAGCGACAGCTGCAGGAGTGGGAGACGAAGGAGGAGGAGCAGGGGAGACCACACACCCGTCACCCCCTACTCACCACCCCCAAACCCTAACAAAGGGCAGGGCGGGATGGCGGGTAGGGAGGTTACGGGGGGGGGAAAAGGGGGGGGGGGGGGGGGGCGACGCGCGGCCTCCCAGGGCGCCAAAGCAGGCGGCAGAAGGGGCGACGCTCGCCCCCCTCCCCCTGGTCGCCCGCGGCCCTCGAGGGAGCCGCGACGGGCGATGGGAAAAGAGGGGGGGGCGGTGCGCGTGCCCCCGGTGCGCCGCGACCGGCGACGGAGCATGGCCGGGGCGGGGCCGGGGCAGGGTCGAGGAAGGGGCGAAAGGGGCGGCGACGGGGCCGTTGGAGGCGGCGACGGGGCCGATAGGGGCGGCGACGGGGCCGCTAGGGTCGGCGACGGGGCCGCTGGCGGTGGCGACGGGGCCGCTAGGGTCGGCGACGGGGCCGGTAGTGGCGGCGACGGGGCCGTTAGGGGCGGCGACGAGGCCGCTGGCGGCGGCGACGGGGCCGATAGGGGTGGCGACGAGGCCGCTAGGGTCGGCGACGGGGCCGATAGGGGCGGCGACGGGGCCGCAAAGGGGCCGCGAGGGGCCTGGAAGGGCGGCGACGGGCCGTGAAGGGGCCGCGAGGGGCCTGAAAGGGCGGCGACGGGCCGCGAAGGGGCCGCGAGGGGCCTAGAAGGGCGGCGACGGGCCGCAAAAGGGGCGGCGACGGGGCCGCGAAGGGGCCGCGAGGGGCCTGGAAGGGCGGCAACGGGGCTGCGAAGGGGCCACGAGGGGCCTGGAAGTGCGGCAACGGGGCCGCTAAGAGTAGGGCGAGGGGCACGCCACGGGGCGTGCCAAACACAGAGTAGCAGCGGAAGCAGTTGGGTGGGCCCACAGGCCTGGACCGTAGATGCTCTGAAAACATGTGAAGATTAGAACGAGAGAATGAAGAAGAGAAGAAGGGGTTTCACTAGCAGCAATGAGGATACATATAGCAAACCCTAGATGGGTTGTACTTGCTATAGAGCACCCCACTACAGGCTAGAGAATAACATTCTGACAACTTCTTCTTGAAAACAATTCCGATCTGTATCGAGAATTCGGCTCCAATCTGATTGGTTGAGAAACTTTCTGATTTGTTTGCGAAGCCTTCAATCCGTCGCCGACATTCCCCCCTTGCTGCTCCTTGTGTGCAAAGGGCTGGGGCGACAGAAACTTGATTCTCCAAGAAATCAGACGTTGTGCGACGATGACGAGACTGTACAAAAATTACGC